CATCGCATAGAGATTTTCTAACAAAAACAACACACAGTCACATAGAGCGTTCTAGTGCATATGATATTATGTACAACACGGAGATCCTTGGGTGGTAATAGCTTCACTGGACTCGGAGAGCTCTGGGTTGGAACTAGTTTGGGAGGCTTGGAAGAGAGGGACATAAAGTTAAAGATAAAGTTCAGCGTCTTTTTCAGTCTTCTTTTGTTTCTTCGATAAACGTTTCCCGGTGAGTTAGAAAATAGGTCTGTGATTGACCAGTCAAAGCCTACACTGCATGCCTGTTTCATCCCCACCCTCCATGTTTCCCCTCATTATTTGTAGTTTAAGACAGGCCATGCTGCAGCAGTCACTCATGCTGATACAGATAACAGGAAGCACATTTTGATTGCTATTTTTTTTTAAGTTTGTGTTTGTGTTTTTTATGAAATCATGCTTCTAGCCAAGCAATAGATATAACTTTGTCCCCAGAGTTTCTTAAAATAAAAAAAGGTAATAAAAACTACAAGTAGATCCACATTTCTTTCTTCTGGTGCGTGCTGATAGTCGACAAAGCTGCTGTGATTATCATTGTGTGTTTAGGGGAGGGGGTTCTTCATTTCCTGTTGTCAACCTTTTAATTCTGTGAGCTCTTCCTCCTGTCACCTGCTGCTGGTCATGTGTCCATGTAGGATGGTTTGGGTGATGGGGATGAATCCTGCGGGGAGCTCTGTGAAAAGAGAACACACCCTAATGCAGCATTATTGCGTCAACTCAACCATGATTTAACTTCCAGTAGCATGCGAGCAGGAACAACTCAAAGCAAGTATGAGTGTTTTGTGCACAAAAGATACATTAAAAGAAGATATTAAATAAAAACAATTTATTCCCTTTATATCTAACAGAATATTTGTTCTGCTGTGGCGTTTTAAAGGAATAGTTTGGACCATTTGAGGTGGAGTTTTATGAAACGCTTATGAAAAAATAATATCTTACCTGTTGAACAATCTCAATTTGGAGAAAGAGAGTTTATTTCTGAGTAGTCTGACGAGCTAATGGCTAGTTCGTTTGGAAATAATAGCAAAGTGAACTCTGATGCGATCTTAAAACAACTCCAGTATGAAATAATTGTTCATTACACAGTTATTCTGGTTTAAAAATATATATAAATATATATATGTGGGAGTTGGTGACGCAGAGGTTAGAGAAGGTGAGTCTGTGATTGGAAGGTTGCTGTTACGATTCCCTGAACCGACAACATCAAAATGTGGGTGAGATAGGTGAAGCACTCACACCTGCCTCCATCCTCATTTGCCCCACTCTGGGCTCTTGAGCAAGGCCCTAGATAGCAACTCTCTACTTCATACAGAGGGCTGTGGTAGCTCGGTGGTCTGTGGTTGCATCAGGAAGGACATCCAGCATAAAAATAATTGCCAAGACTTCGTGCAAATTAGTTCGCTGTGGCGACCCCTGAAGAATGGAGCAGCTGAAAGAAGAAAAAAATTGCTTCTCAGTGCTGATTTCTGATGAAAAATTCCCATCACCAAAATTTGTTTTGTAAATGTCAATCAAATTTCAAGAAAAACTGACTTTTTTTGGCCAAATAATTTTTCGGCTTAATTCCACGTTCAGTCCAGCAGGTGGCAGTAATGCTCCTTTACGTCACTTTACCAACCGCGTTTTGCTCCGAAGAAGACGTCAGATTTGACGATGCATTTGGCCCTGCTGGCTTTCCATACGAACAGACGTTTTTGCGTGAGGCGTGTGTTCGGCTGGACAAGGACACAGAGAAGGAGTGGGACATTTTTACAAGTTCCGGACAGTTTGTTATTTTTGGCAGCTTGTTTAAAGCCCGAATCCAGGCGGAACCAGGATAAAATTCGGCAGGTTTTCGCGGCTGAAGGTAACCGTGCGGGCACATTTAATGGAGCCTGCTAGCTGTTAGCTTAGGAAGCTAGCAGCCGTCATTGACTCCCAGCATTTGGTTTGATGTTTGGCTAGCAAAAAGCCGGCTGTTTTTTTTGTTTGTTTGTTTTTTAACGAACTGTATTATAAAGTATTTGCTTCATAAGTACTTTATTTTGAAGCAAGTAGTTTATCATCG